AGAGCAAGACTTGATATCATTTACGTGAATGCTTGGTTTGTTGGTCTGTAGTTAAGCATGGGCTATCAGTGCTGTGCCCAGCACGGGTATCAGAACCCGGTTTTTGGCGTTATAAGCCTTCAGGTTTCCGCTGAGCCATTGGGAGGGGGGCTATTACGTGAATGCACATATACACACTACGTGATTAAGAACATACATTATCTAAACGTGAACGTATATTTCACAAACTCTGAATCAACATTTTTATATATTCCTCCTTCTGGAAAACCTGGAAAACTTTTCCTTATCATTTCACGTAACAGTTGTATCCAAACACACACACACATATATATATATGTATGTATATTTTTATATGTGAATTATACATTTTGAATTGCCAACATTTGCTACTTCACCGTTGAGCATACGAAAAATATATATTCACAATCCTTTGTGTCTGAATGGTGGTTTTAAGATATCTTACCGCCAACATTTGCAATTCAGGTTTCAAATTCTCCTGTGGGCGCTTAGCGGGAGAATGTGGGGTTAGTGGAAGGAGGGTGATAGTTTCTTAAATTTACCATACATACAGCACACAAAGTATTCGCATTATCATAAGAAGTACCCGTATAGAATTGACAAACTGTCAAAGTATAGCTTACAACTCATCATAAAACCGTGACTATCGGCTATTAAGCCTAACATGAACGTGATTGAAGACTTCGAGAATATTCCTGATTCAGCTGAAAGAATAATTCAAGTGGCCTAGAAAAATATTCATAAGAAAATAACTCAGAACAAAAATCTGAGTTGAATTAAAAAACCCGAAGATCGGGCGTGGCCTAATGTCTAACGTGTCAATTTATGAGTCAAAGAGTCCAAGGTTCGAGACGTAGTATCGGTGAACATATTTCGAAGTTTTAGCAATAAGCACGTTATAAAAGTGACAGCCACATCTATTATTATGTTTAAATAACCCGGAAAAGCCCCTGTGGCGGCAGGTTCTACTAGCTAGCTGTCTCCCCTCTAGTCAGTAGTTTAAATTTAAGGACGATTATACCTGAATTCCTAAGAGAGTCTGTGATTTGGCCATGTAGATCATGTATGTGAAGTTATTTCCAAAAAACAGAAAATGTTCTGAGTTTTTGTTCATCACCACTCGGGTGACACTGCTTAGAAGCACCACCAGTGACGTCAAAGTAAAGGCTTCTTATGCATGGCAACACCTAGACTTTATTTATTGCCATTCTGTGTACAATACTACCATTTTGTGTCTAAACGAAACCAAAACATTTGGAAATTTCAAAAATTGGCTCTCAACTATAGACACGTGACAGTGGTGATAACTTGAGGTCAAAGTAAGCTACCTATATAACTCATAACTAAAACGATGTTTTCGGCCGTAATCCCATTAATATCTCACGAAGTTCGGTCAGCTTAGGATACTTAGACTAGTCCTAAAACTATATACTAAGATAACAATGAAAAATAATATTTTTGATAAGAACATAATGATAATAAGTTGGAAATAATGAAAATAAATCTATTAAATGTTCTAACAAATACTGTTAATAAAAGTAATGTTGAAGAAAACAGGGTATATCTTAGTTACGTGTTATCTACATGGTTTTACATCACGTATATCAAATATAAAATTGGCATGCTACTTACCGTTGATTTCACTCAAAACCATATATGAAATATAGTCCAGTCAACAGTTGAGTTCGTGTGGACAATACAAAATGTATTCTAGGTAAAGAAACTTCAAAGGAAAGATGGCTTAGCTCGTGCCGATAAATTCTGTTTGTAAAACAATAGTCCGCGAAAGCCTGTCTCATTACACAAAATAATTATTGTTTTGTTTTTTTAAGTATAAGGCCAGGAAAGAAAAAAACTATCATCTTCTTTAACAACATCGCTTCTAGCAACTGCTCTTTATCAAGTTCGTGCTTGTACTGGCCTCTCTGATGAGCCTTTGCAGAAATCAGGAGTGTAATCAGTGTGAAAATACATATTTGCTCGAGATTGGTTTGAACTGGCCTCTCTGATGAGCCTTTGCAGAAATCAGGAGTGTAATCAGTGTGAAAATACATATTTGCTCGAGACTGGTTTGAACTGGCCTCTCTGATGAGCCTTTGAAGAAATCAGGAGTGAAATCAGTGTGAAAATACATATTTGCTCGAGACTGGTTTGAACTGGCCTCTCTGATGAGTCTTTGAAGAAATCAGGAGTGAAATCAGTGTGAAAATACACATTTGCTCGAGACTGGTTTGAACTGGCCTCTCTGATGAGTCTTTGCAGAAATCAGTGTGAAAATACATATTTGCTCGAGACTGGTTTGAACTGGCCTCTCTGATGAGCCTTTGCAGAAATCAGGAGTGAAAACGGTTAGGTCTGACGTCATTATACGTTTGTGTAAGATTGATGTCTCCTTAAGATCCCCATTTGTTCGGATTGTTTAGGCACATAATTTAAATATATTTACATGAAATAGTTCTGGGAGATGTTTGGAGTCTTCGTTTTGACACGAAGGATGTTACCCTAAACGAAACCCTGAGTGCATCAGTTATATCCTCAAAATATCCGTGTTATGGTTCACGCACAAAATGTGTTATCCTATACACTATGATGGAGCACTAAATGTAACACGATTTTAAAGCACGTGAATGTCGCTTCTGTAAGTTCATGAACTTTCTGATGCTTGTGCCAAGTAAAGTATGTGACCATGGGTGCTTGAAATAAGACTTTAATGTTAGTGCATGTTTGAGGCTAGCCTGTGGTCACTGGTCACTGTTAAATGTGTCGTTGACTATGGTTTTTAGTTCCTCCTGAGAATGAGGGACAACTTTTGAAACTGGAAAGTAGAACAAGATAGGAGTGGCTGATATTGGTTTCCCGATCTATAATGCTTAACCGAAGTATTGTGACATAAAAAAACAACACGTGTGTGGTAGTTACCTGTATTTTATGTGTTGCATTGTTGTAAATATTTTAGGCCGATACATTAAACAGTTACGATAATAGAGAAAATAAAGTGTATTTATATGACGACACTTCATAGTACACTTCTATATGACGACACTTTATAGTACACTTCTATATGACGACACTTCATAGTACACTTCTATATGACGACACTTCATAGTACACTTCTATATGACGACTCTTCATAGTACACTTCTATATGACGACACTTCATAGTACACTTCTATATGACGACACTTTATAGTACACTTCTATATGACGACTCTTCATAGTACACTTCTATATGACGACACTTCATAGTACACTTCTATATGACGACACTTTATAGTACACTTCTATATGACGACACTTCATAGTACACTTCTATATGACGACACTTCATAGTACACTTCTATATGACGACTCTTCATAGTACACTTCTATATGACAACACTTCATAGTACGCTTCTAAATGACAACACCTTTTAGAACGCTTCTATATGACAACGCCTCTTAGTACGCTTCTATATGACAACACCTCTTAGTACGCTTCTATATAACAACACTTCTTAGTTCTGCTTCTATATGACAACACCTCTTAGTACGCTTCTATATGACAACACCTCTTAGTACGCTTCTAAATGACAACACCTTTTAGAACGCTTCTATATGACAGCGCCTCTTAGTACGCTTCTATATGACAACACCTCTTAGTACGCTTCTATATAACAACACTTCTTAGTTCTGCTTCTATATGACAACACCTGTTAGTACGCTTTTATATGACAACACCTGTTAGTACGCTTCTATATGACAACGCTTCTTAGTACGCTTCTATATGACAACACCTCTTAGTACGCTTCTATATGACAACACCTCTTAGTACGCTTCTATATGACAACACTTCTTAGTTCTGCTTCTATATGACAACACTTCTAAGTACCGTTTCTGTGTGACAACGCTTCTAAGTACCGTTTCTGTGTGAAAACGCTTCTAAGTACCGTTTCTGTGTGACAACGCTTTTCATTAGTTGTTTATTCACTGTAAAAACTATAACAGTTTTTCAGTTCTACACAGTATATATTAATACATGTATGTCGACTTGATTACAGATACATATTACATTTTTACCAACAAAGGCACTTAATGTTATAAACGAATGGTATTTTACTGACTGTAATCACCGTAGGTTAGTCAACGTCAAAGGTTAGGTCAAAAAAGCTCTCTCTCTCTTTCCTGTCTAACTAAAATGTGGGTCGCTGTCAGATGTCTTCCGTTCAGGTTGCTCAGAAGTAAATTTGATGGCTTATAACGCTAGGACTCAAGGTTCGATCCTTGCGATGAGAACAACCCATCGTGCAGTTTCAGCTATAACATGAGTTCGAATGTGGAGGGGATCATATTAAAAAAAAAGGAACATTTTTTACTATTATTTGATTTACTTTGTTGTTCAGTAAACGGGAGTACAGCTATAAAACGAGTTGGTTCCTTTATCTCACCTTAATGAAAAGTAGGGTTAGCAGCCTGTTTATAATTATTAACAATACAGTAGATAACCAAGAATGAAAAGGGCAGGGAACGTGCAATGCTCTAGGTAATAATCCTAACCCTGAATATCGATATTGTTATTTACAATAATGTTCATAATTGTTACGTCCATAAGATGACAAGCTGTTAAGAACAGGTTCCACTCGGAGAGATAACGATGCTAAATATAGATTCCACCTTCAGAAGATTCTAGAAAAAAATAGTGTTAAACTCAAACTCCACCTGGAGAAGATTATAGATACTTCACTTGGTGATGATGATGTTAAGTTTAAACTCTTCATGGAGAAGATGACGTTAAATCTGTCTAGAGAAGATGATGCTAGGAACACTAACTATTAAAGCTGATGTTAGATACAGATTATTTAAACTCACCCTAAATCTAAATTTGTTTGCTTTCAGTTTGCAACAGAACTTTCAATGGTGAAGCCAATGTTAAGTACAGACTCCACATTAGTGAACCGTTTCGCCGCCAGATGCCGTTCCTCTGTGTGGTCAGCTTCGTAGCTGGTGGAGCCCAATATGGCGACTACGTGGAATTACGATTCCTTTCATTCAACGTCGGGTCGCTCGAGAAAGGGGGGTAAGTTTGTGACCATTTTAAGACATTTTTTGTTTATCTTGTTATTAACTTTTGTCCTTAAAAAATCCACACCCGCTTACACGTGTGCATGAAGAGGATAATCGACATGGAATCGTTTTACGGTTTCCCACACCCGCTTACACGTGTGCATGAAGAGGATAATCGACATGGAATCGTTTTACGGTTTCAAAAACCCGCTTACACGTGTGCATGAAGAGGATAATCGATATGGAATCGTTTTACGGTTTCCTACACCCGCTTACACGTGTGCATGAAGAGGATAATCGATATGGAATCGTTTTACGGTTTCCTACACCCGCTTACACGTGTGCATGAAGAGGATAATCGATATGGAATCGTTTTACGGTTTCCAATCACTATCTCATATTGATACTCACAGACTATCTAAGTTTCTCGAATTTTTAATGATATCGTATTGAAAATAATTATCGAAATAGTGAATAAATTGTTATAAACTTCAAATATCATGGAATTCCTTCTTCTCCATTCCATGAAAATGACCTGCACGAGAACATAGTCACGTGTTGATAAGTTAAAATAACTATCTTTTCCTGAAAGTCCCTATTAATTGGCCACGAAAAGGAACAAAGAGAAACAGAAATTTCTGACCGCACGCCTCCTAGCGGCACAGCGGTATGTCTGCGGGCTTTACAACGCTAGAAACCGGGTTTCGATACCCGTGGTGGGCATAGTACAGATAGCCCATTGTGTAGCGTTGTACTTAATTCCAAACAAACAATCTGACCGCCCATAGTTAACTTTCAGACCCCTTCGCGGCCTGAAAGATACTTAACCAAAATAACTACCATGGATCGGACGGACTGTTCCCAGCAGTAGTGTGATAATTACATTCATGTCTCCCAGACCGAAAATGCCAAATGAAAAACTTGTAACAATCAAAGATTTGACTGGTGAAGACTAATTCATGCGACAGTTTGAGAAGAAATTTTATGTTTCAGTTGGAGCTGTACGGAAACTTTAAAATAGTGTACGGAAAACTAGTACTGTTGATAATGGAAACGGTCAAACTAACAGCTCAAAGTCTTCAAAATTAATGTTAAATAATTCAGAGTATCCGATAGAGATCTTGCTGTAAGTACAGGTCTTAATGTTAGTTATGTCAGATTTTGTTCCGGAATGTGCGTTAAACTCTATGTTTAAATGATTCCGGCCAAAACACGACAGTCGTCATTGATATCCGATCGCCACAACCTTATCGTAAGCACTGGATCTAATATTTATAATGTTCAATCTAATACTTCAAAATTTATATAATGTTACATTTCCCTGAAACTGTTATCAGATGAATTGTGTAACTTTGTGCTTAACTACAAACAAACAGTATGTCGAACAGAAGAGTTAAACTTTTTTTTTTTCCATTTTTTATTCACACCAATGTGTGATTAGATTAGATGTAAATATTTCCTATACGTGCAGGTAAGCCTACATAAAGGTTTTATGTATATATGAATCCAGATGTGTGTGCGTGCGTTTCGTATACATAAATTTCACTGAAATATTGAAGGAAACATTTTGAGTAAAAGTTTAGGAAAGCTGATCACAACCACTAATTATCTTCAAGGGAAATTCACAACTTTTCATTAAACTAATTTATTTTCAAGAAACGAAACGAACATCAACTCACCTTATATCCAATTGTACGTGTATGAGAAACGCCAGCATGTCGTTTTATTGTGAAAGCAGAGATACATTGTTTGTTTTGCATTTTTAATGTTGGCAGGCAACAGCTTTTAATGATTACTGGGTGAACAGAAAACTGTGTCCGTTTGGAAGTGATATCACACGTTGTTTAATCAAGCTGTGTAGACCATAATTCCAACTGGTGTTCTAAGTTATTTTATTATGAATGTATCGTCAGCTTTGAGAACGTATTTACTACGTTTGTTTTTTTTTAAGCGCAAAGTTGTACTGTGGGCAATCTGTGCCGTCCGCGCCGCAGGGATCGCACCCCAATAATTTAGTGTTGTAAGCTTTCGTGCTTACCGCTGAACCATCGCTTGATATAACTATAACTATCTATGCCATACCCACCACGGGTTTCGAAACCCAGTTTCTAGCGTTATAAATCCGCAGACATACTACTGTGCCACTAGGAGAGGAGGGGCAGACTTTAGGGAAGGCAGAAAGCCACCGCCAACTCTCGTCTGATTGAATAAGTTGTATTGACCGTCAGGTTTATAGAGTATACATGGCCCCAAAGGTGGACCGTATTTTTGCGAGAATAGGTCGCGAACCATGACCCATAGAACTGAAAGTTCGAAGACGCAAGGCCACGCCCAGCTTTGTTATCCATTTTTAAAGAAATATGTGATATACGCTCTCTTCACGTAAACATCTTTATAGACCATTATAAGAGACGCACAAACTTTCTCAATTACCCTAAATGTATATTTATTTTTTTCGCACGTTAATTACATAATCTTTTTTTTTCCTTCGAAAAATTTGTATTTGGGAGCAGTGAAGTTTTCCTTCTTCACCAACTCTGATCTTCTTGTGTTCAAGTAAACAAAGAGAACATTCAGAGCAGGAGAGCGAGCGAATGTTCTGTTGTACGTGTTTTTACATTACAAACGAAACTTATCCTTGTAATTAAGATCAAAAAACGTCTAGGAAGACAGATACACGCAATACTATGATTATCTGTATAAATGTTATCTTTTATTGTGGGGATATTAAAGCAGCAACTTTAGTTAGCTGAAACTACAGATACACGAAAGTGAAAAACAAAACAAAAAAACTAGCTAATTGCAATTTTACTGAACACGGAAGGAAGCAAACGTGGTTGAAAATGAAATGCCACTTTTTTAAAGGTTATTATATCCTGATGGTGGCCGACATGCAAAGTTTCGTTTCACGTGCAGATAGAAGGTCGAAGCCAGACACATCAGTTTAGATAATAAATGAAAAACAAACATGAATTGGGAAGAGTAGAAGTACGAAGTCTCGATTTTCTAAATATTCTTCTAACAGACAGAAAACACTGTGTCGTTAACTTTTTCTCTCCCTCTCTATCTGTTTATCTATTTCTCTCATTCTCTGTTCATCTATCGGTTGTCTGTCTCCCTCATTTTTGTCATCTATCTATCTATCCATCCATCCTTTGTCTATCTGTCTATCTCTTTATTTTTCTATCAATCGATATCTTTCACGCCCTCTCTCTGTCTCTCTCTCTCTCCCTATATATATATAGCTCTCTTTAACTCTGTTACATTCTATCTGTCTATCTGCATACGTATCTCTATAGTCTTTCTGTCTGTCTCTCTCTCTCCTATATATATATATATA